TTCTCAAATATACAAAATATTTCGACTAAAGGCAAGTTCTTTTTGTATAAAGTGGTTGCTTTAAGTTTTATACTTAAAAAACTATTTAAATGTATTGTTCTTAATTTCTACCTATTTTTGACGTCTCCACAGGCTGCGAATTATCGAGAAAATTTTATTTTTCTTAACAAGCACTTAGTACCTCTTATAGTTCTTTTAAGTACTTAATATGCCTAAGGTTGCTCATTATTATTTATAAGTTTTCGTAAATGCGTTCCCGCTGGTATGGGAGAAACAACCAAACATTTACAAATTTAGGAAATTTGCTTGCAGCACTCGCAGAACTGTACGTGTGCTCCGACAGTCAAATCTCCTACAGACTATTCTTCAACCCTTCTGTTCACAATATACTGTTCCTACCAATCTGGCCTTGGCGTTACTTCTCTCCTCTCCTAAGGAACCCGGCCTGGAAGAGCACAGCCGTTAAGGTTGATCTTACTAGCCTCAACATCTCTACCAATCCTCTAGAGCCGCGTGTGATGAACGCCATCGATTGTTACGACATCTGTTTTTGGAAGACGAGCTAGATAACGAGTCTTTTTAGTGATCAAACATTTAATATATTTAAATACTTAACTTTAGGAAGTAGATTCATGCAAAATAGCCACAAGAAATAGAGTGTACGTTAATAGCACCAAAACAACTTATGGGAGACAGGTAGGCGTCGAGATAATGTCAAATTAATTTTTTTCTGGGTGGAATCTGCGTAGGTGGATAAAATAAAAATCAGTAAAAAGTCCGTACAAAGTTGTGAATAAATTAAGGATCCATGAGTATTCCAAATTCGGTTCAAAGGTGGAAATAAATTAAATAATTTCGGTCAATAAAAAACAACTCGGCACGCACACGGAAAAGGGATACAAACTTGGCTACAGATTCTGTCGATTATTCTAGTTACAGGAGGGCAACAAACATGAACGTAGAAACGGCAAGTCGTCGCAAAAATGAAAATACCAGTTGTAAGAGAGGCACAGAAAGTCCGCACACAGGAACCTGCAAGACTGGAGCACTGCACGCTCAATAAGTCACGAGTGATAAAAGCAGGAGAGATGAAAGACACTCTTAGGCAGCCTAATTTACGTATCTAACGATGTCTTCAAAGCCCGAAGACGTTGCAGAATACTTTGGTATTGAAAGATACCACGTCGCCCTCCAAATGGATCCCGCATCTCCTGACCGGAGGAACTTAAATTCGCTTCACATGAACTTTCGAATTTTCGGTAGGAATCTTCAAAAGCCTCTACAGCAAAAACATAAAGATCATCAGGAATGTAGAGTTTTCGTTCCAAGACGTCGCAGACAGCACATCGCAGAGTCTCGTGTCTGATAATTTCATTGTAACGCTTAGAGTCACCCGGAGAATGTTCATTTGAATATCCCGGTTCATTGAAATATGGTTCTTCATTCATCATTGACTGTATAGAGACTAAGACAGAGGAAAGACTCTGGGCTGCTGTCCATTGGGGTCCAGTCCAAGTCCCAAGGATACTGAGGCAGACCTTTCGTGAAATACAGAAAATAATATGCATGAAGATCCAGATATCTTATCTTTTTCATCATCCCCAAAGACGAAGAAGAAGGTACGATGAAATGGACCAAATTATATTAAGACCGACGTTTCGGACACTTGTTTTTTTCCATCGTCACAGTAACTAGGTGGTTGTGCCTGTTTGCTCGTGACTGTTTCAGTCTCGCCGCATGCCTGGTATTATATACGTGACCGACACATGAACTTTGGCCTGCCTGTTTGCTGCTGGTGGGCTCGTGTGACCTTTGCGGCTGTCGTAATTGTTGGCAAGTCAACGTGCTTACTGGCCTGCCCTTCGTCGGCCGACGGACTGTTCAGTTGTTGCTGCCCGCATAAGTTGATGTCAATCTAGTGGGCGTGGCCATCACGCCAGTCACGTGTTTTCTGGCCTCCTCTGCTGCCATTTTCCTCTGACCTCGGTTGTATTCCAAGTTTGAGCTTGCATTGCCGTCTTGTTGGTATTGCTCGAAGTGACTTGAGCCGTGTGCGTACCGCTTGGTAGGCGGGATGAAGGTCTATGCCTCTGCTAAGTGCGCCATTCGAAGACCAACTTTCCAGCAGCAGTTTGGTCATCTCAGCTCGACCTACTACCCTTGTTTTTTCAAGGGCGAAAGTGTGGTTCTTCTGCTGTACGTGGTCATAGACCATAGATAGCCCATTCTTGTGATTGATTGCGAGCTGATGCTCATGCAACCTTGTTCCCAGGCGTCTGCCCGTTTCACCGATATATCTTGCATCACAGTTTTGGCATAGTAGGCTGTATACCACTGCTGGTAGTTCTGACGATGGTAGTGGGTCTTTGGGCGTTAGTATTTGCTGTCTGACGGTCGACTCCGGCTTATGAGCCACACGGATCCCGAATGGTTTCAGGAATAATCGCCACGTTACTCTGACGATGAAAACAAGCGAGTGTCCGAAACGTCAGTCTCAATATAATTCGGTCCATGTCATCGTACCTTTTTCTTAGTCTTCTTTGGGGGATGGGGAAAACGATGTAGAAAAGAACTAAAGAAAGAATTTGCGATCGAAAATAAGTTAATTTGGTCTAGTACGAAATGTTGTGTATGGATTATCAGGAGAGGGACTGCATTGCTGTCTATTCAGTCACATGTGCATACAGGGGGACATAACTAGTGTTGACACAGGAACACACTAGGTTACAATAGACCCGGTGTCATGACCCAGAAAAGAGCGGTAGATGTGGCGTAAGTCTACTACCACTATAATCTAGTCCACGCGCAAGTCACCACCCTGCGCCACATTGCTCGGTGGACCTCGTCGGAATCGAAGATCGTACTACCAGGTAGGAAAAAGGTATATACAGGGTGTCGTGGAAGGAGACCCACTTTGCAGCGGTACGATCACTCCAGGCTCGTGGATGCGGGCGAGTGTACGTCGGAAGAGTTCATTATAAGAATGATATCCCACAGCAGATATACTCCCGGTTATTACCACCCAAGTCATTACTCAGTTTTGACACCAACGTACCTCTTAATTTATGCAGTCAAGTCTCTTAGTTTAGATTCGCTTGGCTTTGATAGTGTAGTCCAGTCTTCAAAGCCTAGCCATAGCTTTTAGCCCATAGCAGTCTCAACAACACTGTCGTCCTCTATTACCGTACTTGTAGCACGCCTATCTAGAAAGATGATGGTCTGACCTCTAACAAAAGGTAGCATCAGAGCTAGCACCAGTACTACTACACTTCTTGTTGAGATTGTGGGGATATGAGCCTAGTGTTGACTTTAATCAGCGTCACTTTCTGACTAATAGTACAGCCAGAAATAGTACCGGCTATACTATCACTCAGCTGCACCCCTAGTTAGTAGTATTAGAAATATCAGTAGC